CGACCTACGGGGAGGGGGCCCTGGCTATGGCAGAGTCACAAGGCCAGGCCTGCAGGGGCTGTATTCCTGGGAGCTGGCAGCAGAGCGCCATGCCCGAGAGCTCTTTGGGCAGGTTTCCCTGCCCAGCCCTTCTCCTTGACCACAGGGGCAGAGGAAACAGCAATGGTGGGGGAGAGCATTTCTAAGGAGCCAGAGTTCAGCCCAGCCTGTGTGCTGAAAGCTGTAGGGTCCCCTGGGCCTGCCAGCAGGAGGGGGTTTAGCTGCCAGTTCAGTAGCCCCATGTGGGACTCAGCCTGAGGAAGGTACTTCTCCCCCCTGCCCCTCACTCCCAGGGCCAGCCCCTCTGGCAATGGCTTTGGCAAAGCCATGGCCTAGGTGGGGAGAGCACAGACCTTGCAGCTTCCTTCTGGTCAAAGGGAAGGTGTGTGGTGCAGATGGAGCCACAGGGCAGTAATGGCACATGCCCAAGGGCCTAGCTGGTGTCCTGAAAATCCTAGGAAGTCAAGTTGGTGCCACTGTCTCATTTGTGCCATCTAGCCAAGGCTGGTGCCTGGAGGACCCAGCTTTGGGGCACTGCCCCATTCTCCCCATACAGGTCAATGCCCATGGCTGAAGAAGCCAATGCAGTAGAACTGCACCCTGGGCCATGCTGGCAGCTAGAGGACCCAGCCCAGCTGTGCTCTGGGATGACTGCATATACTGGAGCGTGCGGGGGAAGGGTCCTGACCCCACAGGCTCAATGCCCAGCTCAAGGTTGGTCCCTGCTTTCAATTGGTCCTGGCCTCCTGCCAGGCAAGAGGGGATGAGGCCAAGCCCCTCCATGGGGAGTAGCGTGGTTCTGCTATGGCTGCCCAGAATATGCCCAACACCTCCATGCCAGGAAAAAAACCATCCCTGCTGCACCAACAGCTGAAAAAGCCGCAGCCAGAGAGGCGGCAGAGCAGGGGCTGCAGGAGCCTCTTCTGGGGCCTCCTCAGGGTGCCAGGCCAAGCCAAAAGGGCTCCCCCACCACACACACACCAGCAGGGGCAGCGCTTGCCAGTCAGGGGCTCCCGGAGGCGCTCTCCTGTGTGAAGGGACTGAGAGTGGGCACAGCTGCAGGCCAGCAGCGAGCCTGGCCCAACCCTGTGAACTTCTACCTGCACATCACTCTTCTCCCTGCTCCTTCGGCCCTGAAGGCTGGACCTGAGCAACCCCCACCAAGGAGCACTGGGTGCGAAGGGGCCCAGGAGAGGCCAAGCAGCTCCTGGGACAGAACCACAAGGGGGGGGGGAGGGGCCAGCAGTGGCTCACTCCAGGGTCCCCAGGGCCTGCCCCCAGTAACACTAGCATTGTCTAAAGGACATGGGCCATCTTTCCATGGAGCCCAGACCCGCTCTGAGCATCCCTGGCAGGTGGGTGGCTCCAGCCCTGCACCCACCCTGGCCCAACCCCCAGTTCCCCAAAGTCAGTAGTGACAGGCTGGGGGAGCCTCTGTCTGGGGCTATGCAGAAGCCCCTCTAGAGTCAGAGTGGTCTCTGCCAACCAGGCACCTGCCCAGCCGAGGTGCCTGCGCTGATGGCAAACCCAGTGGGTGAACAGCTTGCGTGCTCTGTGTGGCTCCAGCCCCCTTGCCCCCAAGGTGCACCTCCCTCATGTCAGCTGTCCCTGCCCACACTGGGTTTGCAAGGGGGCTGGAGCCATACAGGGTGTGGTGGAGAGCAGAGGGAGGAAGGAGCAGCACTGAGCAGGGGGCTCACGGGTGGTGGGAGCACAGTCCAGCAGGCAGCAGTTCCCATCCTCGGCTGCCCTGGCACC